AAGTTGCCCAGGCGGGTCTCGAACCTGCGGGCTCAGGCAATCCACTCACCTCAGCCTCCCAAAGGCACGAGATTACAGGTTGAGCCACCAAGCCCGGCTGATGGTCAGATTCTTGAACTTCACCTCCAGTTATCTCACACTCAGTCTGTTGTGTTCTGGTTTCCTTCCAACCAACTACACTGAAAGCTCCTGCTATGACCAGGATCTTCACGTCACTGAATTCACTGGACATTTTTAGTCTTCCTTTTAAATGTCAAGGCTTACCACTTACGTTCCCTTTTTCTAGAGACATTCTTACCTGTCTCTACCATGATGACAAAAACCAGTCTCTTGGTTTTCCCTATTTCTTCAACTACCCTGCTACGTTTCTTCTGTGGGCATAGTCCCATTCATTTGTTCACTCAATTCACTTATTCACCCACTCAATTCACCCACTGACTTATTCATTCATTCATTCTGGAAATATTTGTAGAGAAATCATTATGTGCCAGGCACTGGGCAGACAAGGTTTTTGTTTACATTCTTCTCCAATTCATCTCCAAAATCAAATGTCTTCAGAGGCAAGGCAGCAAGTGAACACAATATTCATTGTGGGATCAGAGGAGAGCACGTACCCCATCTAAAATATTCAAATTCCATTTTTAAAACAATATTGGACCAAAAAAAGCAAAAGACCTGAGATGAGGTTCCGCTGTACACACCTCATACCACTGTACACGCCTCATTCCCTTCCAAGATGAACTCCATCCATTCCTATGGCTCTAATATTCACCTCTACTTTGGTCTGAAATCTCTATTTTTAGTCCAGATTTTTTTTTTTTTACCCCACTTAAAGTTTATTTCATGTGATTCTTCTCCGCATGCAGTGCACTGTCTTGGGAAAAAAATTTTCTTTGCTGCCCTGATTTACATTATAAATTAATTTACAAATATAGAATTGTGTTAGAAACAATATTTATAAAAGTCCACATGATTTTTCAAATATAAAAATATCTGTAGAAAGTGGTGTTTTTGTACATGTCATGTGGGAGTAGGTAGTTTCTTTGGTTATCTTTCTGAATAATATTAAAAAAGTAACGGTGACATCAAACTGTACCTCAGTAAGCTGCTTAAAAAAATAATTTTCTGTATATTCCAAAATAAAAAAATTTTTTAAGTAATGCTTGAGGTTCTCAGAAAAACACACAGGGAAAAGTTAAATTTTTTTTACAACGTGCTCGTGCTTCGTCTTCTAAAAATGTCACAACCCCAGCCTAGTTGCACTCTTTACACCAAAAAGACGGCACAAAGGCGACGCCCAGGCCCTCGTCTTCATCTCGATGGGATGGCGGCCGTGAAACCAACAACCGTGGGCATCCTGATGTCACCCTCTGCACACATCCCACCATTCAGCAGCGGGCAAGCGTCCGCCCTGTGCCAGCGCTCAGCCGGGCACCGGAATGCCGGCCGTGAGAATCACTCTGAGAGGCGAAGAGGAGTGCTAGCATAAGTTACACACGTCCTCTTAAAAACTCGGACCTCGGATGGCCTATAAGCGGCGTTAAAAGCAACTAGGAGCCGGGCTCGGTGGCTCAGCCTGTAGTCCTGCGCTTTGGGAGGCTGAGGTGAGTGGACTGCCTGAGCCCGCGGCTTCGAGACCCGCCTGGGCA